AAATTGCAACATTATTAAAATTTAAGTTGCAACAGGTGACAAATAAGTGTCACAATGTTGCAACGCCATCTTTAGTACCTGAGGTATTTTACATTCTAAGCCGCTCAAAAAGTGGGGGGTCATTATACATGGGGGGTATTATAGAGTGTGTTCTACGGTATTATCTAATAATTATATTTAATTAATAAAATATTTTTATTTCATATCAGAGGATGCCAGTATCCTTTCCTAATAATATGCTAACACCTTATCCTAACTAAACCTAACTAAACCTAAACAAATAAGATTTCATTACTCAAAAAAAAACTGTTTTCTGAATAAATAGTAAAACAGAAACTTGAGGGTATGATATAATGTGATACAAAAGAGAGGATATATATATCCATGGATATAGTTATAATGTAATTAATATTAGATATTAGTATTTTCCTTTTTAAATAAAAAATAAATATTTTTTAAGAGTAATAAATAGGATTTTTGATATGAAAAATAATTATATTGTTAAAATACTTGGAAAATAAAGTGAAGAGTATGACAATTAATAATATTCTTTGGTGTAATTTACATTTTTTTTAGATAAGTAAATGTATTTGAATTTGATAAATTGATTTATATTTAAATCAAAGTTTATATTTTTTATTTTTTTTTCTAATAAAACAGTATACTAATTATTAATAGTTGATTACTAATTATTAAAAATTCGGAATTAGAGAAGGTATTAATGTAGAAATCAAAAAAAAAAAAGAAAAGAATCTAAAATTTATTACAAAAATAATAAAATTACCTAATAATAGAAAAAAGAATTCGATAATTTAATTGGAATCCGCATCCATATTTTGGTCATCGTCTTTATCGTTATCACTATCACCATCAAAATATTCATTTTCATGCCACATTAAACGTTTTCTACTTCTAATATCAACAGTTTGATCCTCTCTTGCATCTCTTAATTCCTCATCAGATTCATCCAACAAACATTGTAAATCTCCTGGAAGTTCTTGCATTTGAACACTTGGAGCACCATCCAAGAATCTTAATAATTCATGAACTTGTTGAGAAATTTTTTGTAACTCGGTCTTTGTATTAAAATTATCAATTTTTCTTACAAGTGGAGGATGTAATGAAAAATCGGGACCAAAGAAATTATAAAAACGGGTCCTTTCTGGTAATTCAGGTGGTAATTCTGCGTCAACTAAAATTCCTGTTTCATAAGTCCAACACCTTGCTACATTGTGAATTCTATATCCACCTCCTCCAAGAACTAATAAAGGAATATGCCAACTTTTTACGAATCGAACGCATTCTCCATGAGCTTTAATACTTATATTAAAACCTCCTAATCTATCCTTTCCAAGTGAATCTGCTCCGCATTGTAAAACGATAACACTTGGTTGATAATGATCCCTTACATCCGATATAACATCTTTAAATAATGTAAAATAGGTTTCATCATCGATCCCATCCTTAAGAGGTACGTTAAGACAAAAAAATTTGCCTAACCCACAACCAATCTCGTTTATATTTCCAGTTCCCGGAAAGAAACTACCACTATCATATTTGTGAAATGAAACCGTCATAACTCGATCTGTAGCGTAAAATGCTTCTTGTACACCATCACCATGATGTATATCAATATCGATATACAAGACACGAGGATAAAACCTTTCAATGACAAGATTATTTAGATCAAATAGATCAATTATATAAAGTAGGTTGGAATTAAAATTTTTGACAAACCTTAATAAATGTTGTATTGCCAAAACTATATCATTCACGAAACAAAATCCCGAAGCTTCAAATCTTTTTGCATGATGTAACCCACCACTCCAATTAATGCATATATCAGCCGCGTCTGAAGCTAATTGATGTGCTGCGGCTATAGAAGCACCTGCATATATCTGACAAAAATCATACAACCCTTCAAATATTGGACAATCCTCACTTATGTTGAATTTTGAAAAATCCTCAACAAAATCTTCAGAATTTTCTGGCGTTACGTCCTTTAAGAACTTTATATAATCTGTTTCATGAAATTCCATTAACTCATCATCCGTTGCTTTAGGAGGACAATACACGGTCATTCTTTCGTGAAGTTCATAACTCATAACCAAATCATTTGTTAAAGTCAAGCGATGAGGTTTCATTGGATGTTGCAACTGTTTAAAAAATCTGTTTATTAGCAACAGAAAAACTTATATTTAAAAGAGTTGTTTTCTTGAAAATTCTAAACATACTCCAAAATGAAAGTTTCCAACATCTTTATGATGAAAATAAGCAACCTTTTGTTTTGAATGTGGTTGTATATGAAAAGTTGCTGATTGAGGCTGTGCAGTTTTCTCGCTATTACTTGGAAGAAAAGTGGAAGAGAACATCTTTATCAAATCTTAAAAAAAAATTATTGTTGACACCGTTTAATTGATCCGATCGAGTGTTACTAAATCGCGATGATTATAGATGCACGTGATTTTTTTTTTTTTTAATGATAGAATTCCAAGTACTTTTTTTTAAATTCCTTTAACCTTTTCAAAAATCAATAATTAATTATTTAATTCATGACAGTTATCTGTAGGCTGAGTACCAGTAATAGTCCTAATGTCAATATTAAACACCAATCAGTAATTTCGGAAATACAATTAAAGTTTTAGGTAATGAACCAACCAATAATGGAAAAAAAAAACAAAAACATAATCTTATTTTTAAGCAAATAAGATCACGTGTTGTACATGCTTCAATTAATTAGTTGATCGTTGTCAGGGTTGTTGAATCAACCACTAGGCGCGGTAGACCAGCATTTAAATTTGATAAATTTACATTATTTCTAGTAATTCGACGGTTGACTATTAATACTTAACTAATAAGTGAGGGCTAGAAAAATCTGAAATAAATAATAATAATAATAACAATAATAGTTTCCCTTCGCGTTATTTGCAGAACTTTTGTTGAAGTGGTGAATAATTGGAATCTTTTGCTTGCTTTTGAAGAACATCCTGGTGTTTTTAGAGAGGATGGAGATATTATGTTTTGCAATTTTGTAACTTTTCAGTTGAATGGAAGTCAAAATCTACTGTGGATGGACATTGTCTTTCAAAAGAACATTTTAAAAAAAAACAAAGTTATGAAAGTAATGAACAAAAAAACAAGTCGTTGGTGACTAACGGTTTATTATTAATAATAAAGTTACGCGAAGAACAAATAAATCCGAAAAAGGATGAAAGAGAAAGCGCGCGTAAATTGATATTTATATCTTTTGAATTTGTAATGAAAAAAATGATGAACCACTTGGACAACAAATTTTAAAAAACTAACCTAGATTCCATAAGTAACAAAACTAAATAGTACATTTACAAACCTAATTCTCAAGGGAAATAATATGAATAATAATTTCCAACCCCGATCGTGTCTAATAAGATTCTCTGTCATTAGAATAGGTTATTATTATTAAATCATCAAATATGAAAGTAAACAAACAAAATCCTTTTGCAAGAATTGATTTCGCTTAGTCAATATTTTTTTTTTAATTTTTTAATTTCAATTTATTTTTGTTATGTAAAAATAGTTTTTTTTCGATTTTTTAAAAATAGTTTCAGCAATTTCGACAGGTGTTATTAATCGAACCATATTATAAATAATAAAAAACATAAATAAAAAAAAAAAATAAAAGATTCTTTAATTCTTTCAAACGAATATATTGAGTACGTAGAGGGGGATCGGAAAAATGTTCGGAAATTTAATTTTTGTAACTTTTTGGGATGTGGCTGTGAAACTTAATAATTAAACTTTAAAATCTTTTGGTACATCGATTGGATTTGATTTACAGCGTCAAATATTGATTAACGGGATTTACGCTATCCCATCGGAAAAAAAAAAAAAAAAAAAAAAAAAAAAAAAAGGTATATATTTATATATTTGTTTATTTATTTATTTAAAACTTTTCAAGTCCACATTTTCAACCTTCAACCTTTCCCAGTCATCAATCGAAATATTACTCGAAAGAAAGAAGTAAATCCTACAAATGGAAATGAAAGTCATATGGGTCCGAAGAAAAAAAGGTTGAATTTACACCGAATTGGTTTTAGAAAGCTATTAATAGACTAAACAAAGCAAAATAGTAATCATGCATGAAGATGTTTCTATAAAGAATTTTCCATCAATATACTCCTCATTTATTTATTTATCTTTTTTTTTTATTTATGATTACTAAATTTAAACCGTTCGCACTTTCATTTATAATTCGTTAAGGCTAGATTATGGATAATTCGATTAGAAGCCAAGGTTACACGCGTCAAGCTCACTAACTCTTTACACAAAGGTGAAAGATTGAATTATTATTCTTGAATTCTTGGCGTTTTCATTACCACTCTTAACAAAGATAATGAAGGAAACGTTTTAGTCATCGAGTTTCCTCTTTTACATGTAATGAAATGAATATGCAATGATAAAACTTGTAATTTCTTAATAACCTTTAATTTGTTCATTAGGATTTCGCGTTGATGTTGTCAAACATTTTTCTCTTAATTCTTTAATCACTGCATGCTTTTGTAAACGGATTAATTAAAATCTCTCGGCTCCTTGGTTTGTTTCAAAGGCATCAAATTCTTTGCTCATTGTGCGTCGTTTGCTTGGATTTCATATACTAATTTGTGGTTTAATTGACTGCATCATGCCGACATGAGTACGATATTTCTGAAACGGTAATGATTTACTCAATCTGAGATGTATAATAAATCTTTACGACATATAAAATGATTTGTTTTGAAGATCCCCTTGGCCAAAGTTGACAAGCCTAATTGAGAAAAAATTACTGTAATCATTATGTTTGACAAAAGAAAGTTTCAGGTCTTGGCAAAAAAAAAATTCCCAAACTGGGTCTAATATTATTGATTATTTTCATGAAGATAATGAAGCAGAAAATTATGCAAGATTAATGATTTTCAAGGGAATAGAAAAAAAAAAAAAGGTAATTTTAAACAAATTATGATCTGCCATAATAAATAAAGATTTGGGGAGTTTTTGTTTATTTCATGTGTTCGAATAAAAAAACAAGAACATTATAAAAAGAAAATCATTGCAATAAAAGTAAATGATATTCTGCTTAGAGTTTTCCTGGCTCTTGGCTAAAAGTTTTCATCGAGAAGAAATTACCCGACTTGAAAAAAAAAAAATTTACTGCGTATGAAAATGTGTTGGCTTTTCGTTCGTTCTTTCTTTTTTTAACAATTAAAGGACATGATGTTTCGTTTGATAACATTGTTTCTCTCCTCTTGGCAAAAAATGATATCAATTTATTGAACGTATTAAGGATGATAAGATATTATTTTTAATCTGTAAAGAAAATTCTGACGAGAAAAATCATTTTCTTTGCCAAGTCCAATTTTTTTTTTTTTTTTTTACACACCGTTAATTTAAAATTTGCCAAGAAAACACCGTAATTTTTAGGTGTGACAAACGTCTTCTTGAATATTCCTTTTTTTAATGATGATTTCCTTAATTGGTCACATTTCATCCAATAATTATCAAATTTGTATCACCCACCCAATTTAAGCAAAAATGGATTTACATTTATTATGGTTTAAAAAATTATGATACGCGTCAAAACTTTTCTTGGCAAAAAAATAATCAGCTTTTTTCGGATTATATAAATGGAAGCGATTTTAACAAGACAGTACGATCAGAAAAAAAAAAAAAATTCAAAAAATTCATTTTTTTTTAAAAAAAAAAAATAATAACCTTTTTTTTTAAAACAATCATCACTTTTTGACACAAACACATTTCTTTGAAAGCAAAAAAAAAAAAAAATGTCTTACAGTTCAATCAATCCACTTTCGCCTCCCATCTCCGAAGGAAATCATTTGGAATTTATTTGCCTTTGGAAAAATTGTTGCCGTATCTTTGAGGACGCAGAAACTCTTTATGCTCATCTCTCAACAGATCATGTAGGTCGTAAATCTACTGGAAATCTCTGTCTCAACTGCCATTGGGAGGATTGTGATGTTAGCACATCTAAGAGAGACCATATTACCAGTCATTTAAGAGTTCACGTGCCGTTAAAACCACACAAGTGCGAAGTAAGTATCTTTAACTCGATTATTATTTAATTTATTAATGCTGACTAAAAAAAAAAAAACTTACAAATTTTTCTTTTTTCCAAATAGACATGCAAAAAAGCTTTCAAGAGACCCCAAGATTTAAAGAAACATCATAAGATACATAGCGAACAACATCAACAGCAGTTAAGCCATTTGAAAAGTCAACGCTTGTCCAAAAAATTTCGTCCGCCATCTCCTCCTTACTATAACATACGACAAGCTTCGCATGAATTGCCACATTCGACCTGTACCTTAAAAAACAACCGTGTGAAAACCTTTACTCCTAGATTACCTTCGATTTCACTCTTCTCGAATACAAATTCTTCAATTATGAATGTTCAAGATGTTTCATCAATTTCCACACAACAAAATTATCCTTCAACTTTTACGAGTAATTTCTCATGGTTATAAAATGTTGTTGATAAATAATTTTGAAAAAAAAAAGAAGGGTTAATTGTATATAAAGCTTAGTTACAACGAATTTTTACTTTTATTCTATACATAATTTTTAGTTTTAATTATTTCTTTTACTTTATTATTTTTTTCTTCCTTTCTTCTTTGCTTTGTCTATCTATTTCTATTTAATTTAAAATTAGATAATAGCACTCTATTTTTTTTTAAGTTTATGGGGGTTTGCTGAGCAAACGTTTTAAAATTTCTCTTTTTGGAATTTTCTTTTTTTTTTTTTTTTAGAAATCACCTCTTTTCTTTTTCAACATGACAAATAATTTTATATGGAATGATAAATACAAATTAAATTAAATTCAATAATAATAGATAAATAAATAATAAAAATTTATGTGATAATTTGCATAAAAACATCGCCCGAATGGCACAATATACATGTGAATTGGTTGTTTCTTCAGGAGTTAATTTTGCAAATGGGCATAAATGTCAATGCCTTACTGCTGACTGACGATCTTACCCGTGTTTTGCAATGATTAGTTCAGTGATTAGTACGTGATTAGTACAGTTAGTACATTATAATATTACATCCAACCCTGCCTTCATGTTTACAAAAAAAAAAAAAACCCCCCAATTTGTATTTTTTTTTATATTTGTTATATTTACGTCAAATCAGCTTTTATACAAATTGAGGATGGATTTAATAAATTAATTCGCAAACAAAAGCTGTTAATAAACCCGTTATTAAAGACGATATCATATTAATCTTTTTTTAATAAAAAAAAAAATGATGAAAAAAATAAATATTTATTAGTAACATTAATCAGAAAAAAAATCATTCCTTCCCCTCCTTCACTTACCTGATTATTATTTAATAAGTCATACCCGCTAACAACCTTAGAATCCTTATCGTCATGACGAGCAACTTTATGCGATTTTTCATTATACTTTGTGATTTGTACGGTAGCTCCCAATAATGAATCAATTAATGAACCAATTAATCCAGCGACCGAAGCAATTAATATTATTTCCGGGTGTCCTTGACATGAATTTGTTAAGATTAATGATATTGTTGCCGAAATTCCGATTAGAAGTCCACCTAATATTGAAGCTAATAATCCTAATGGTGAAATCCCTCCATTTGTACCAGGTGGCACCTTAAGGGTAAGAAAGGTAACAAAAAGAGAGAACAGGTTGTTTGATAAAAGAGAGACGAAAAAAAAACGGTTCTTTCCTTCCTATAAAAATCATCTTACCTTTTTAAACGTAGTTATTAAGATAGGCCACCCTTCGTTAAGAATGCCAAGTTCACTTGCCCACTTGATAAAAAAAAAAAGGAATTTTTTTTTTTAAATTAATAAAATGAATCAAAGGTTAAAAGAAAAAAAAAATGTATTTTTACCGTATCTCCATTACAAGTTGCGTAAATCCTTTTTTTTTTGTTAAATAAAAATCGAAATTCTGAATATATATATATATTTTTGTTTTTTTTTAAAAAAAATAAAATTCCAATTGTCTAAGGTACGATTTATTTACCCGAGGTACATGTAAAAGATGAATCTTGATCCCTGATCACTTAATAAGCATGATCCCGATAAATTTCCATCACCGTAATAATATTGGTGTATAACGGATAATATTGTTCCTATTAAAGCATTGCTATATACTTGACTTGCGGTTCTTTGTCCGCCTACGTAAAAAGAAGGAACAATTTAGCGCGCGAAATTTGAAAAAATGCAATTGGTGAATGAATTACATTCAAGGTATTCCTCTTCAAGTTGTTTCTTTCTTTCCGCTTTATACTAGATAAAATAATAAAGAGTTTGAATTTTGTTATTTTTATTTTAATTTATTTTAAACATACATCTCTTTTGCGCCCTAAAATAATTTACCTTTGTTAGTTTTGAACCGGTGAAATAAAATACTAACAACACAACGCCAAAAACAGACCAATCATTTCGTAATGTTCCAAAACCAACGGAAAAAGCAGCTAAAGCTCCAGAAGTTGATAGAGACTTCTTTCGATATCCATGTAACATAAGTATTAAAGAACATATGAACGTATATAATAAATTCATGTTGTAATGGAGATTTTTTTTTTTTTTTGAAAAAAAAAAAGAAATTTTTGTGAAACAGAGAATTTATAAAAGAAAATATGCTGATCATCCCGAATTGCCGAATTTGGTAAAATTCTCTCAAAAAATTTCCCGATAAACGCAAGCATAGACGCATAGACGATTGCAGATCAGAATGACATATTCTATACATTGTAATAATGCACATTGCATTATGACTCATAACTTATTAAATTTATCTCGTAAATCATAAATATTAGATAATACCGTAAAGAAATGCTCAGAGTAATATTCCACAAGCAATTATTACCCCTTTCTTTGGAAAATTCCGCATATGAGTGGAGAATACCATGAACGCTGGGATCAATTGGTATAGCATGAACAAAAGCTGTTTGTGCATCTCGTAGATTGACATTATTTATTCATAATGAGCTTGATTTGACCCTCTTTCTTTATAAAAAATAAAAAAAAAATAAAAAAGTGTTGCAAGATGCGCTCTTTGTTCCCCAGATGTTAACGGTGATTGTATTGATTCATATTAATATTTATAATAAGGTGTATATATCTTGCCGATTTTGTCGTGTTGCGTTTTGATTTATTGTATCGATAATTTTTTTGCTCTGAAGCAACAAAAAACTTACGTTCGCCTCATATTACCGCTTTGTTGGTGTTTTCAAGTCCGTTGTGCAAAGACATTCTCTGATGCTTGATACCCTAATTGGTGATGGTGAAGGCATTTTGACTGAAAAATTTGGGTATTGATTGCGAATATTTTTGTAATGACAAATATATCGATATCGATATAATTAAATCATTAAAATAATTTATAGTTAGAGCGGCGTTTTCATGCGCATCGATCTTCAAAAAAAAGATTAACATAACTCCGACAATATAGTGAGTCATATGTAATCATTTCATTGACCGCAGAAATTAAAAAAAAAAAATAAACCTCTTTTCCTTGTATAAATAATTTGATTGAGAGCCGAATCATCCACTTTCCCATCTTTTATAATAAAAAAAATGCTTTAAAAGAAAAAAAAAATAAATAAATAAATACTTTGAAATCATTTGGAAATTTATTATAATAAATATCCCGACTTCAGAATATATAAATCTCGCGTTTGAAACTACTCAATCATACAGTTTTCATCGTTATAATCCCAATTTTGAATTTAATCTCGTTACCTTTTATCACTTATTATTTTCGTGAAAAAATATCAAGTCTTCCCTCTCTATTAACTTTTTTATCCACCGCAGTATTTGGCGTCTCACTTCCTGAATTAAAGTTTCTCGTCTTTTTTTTTATCCGTCAAATATAATAACGAATTCCTAATTTTAAATTTAATCTCGTATCTTTCTAAAAAGAAAAAAAACAATTTACCACCATTTCCTCTCAAATCAGTTCAACATGACTTCAAATTCCAACCTCAGATTCATTAAAACTTGGTCTTTAACTACTACTACTGATGACATGAATTCGTCTCAGCATTTTGATTTTGTCAATTTTGATAATTACTTTTCTTACCTTGACCTTGTATTCGACGATATGGACCAATCAGTTGATTCGTTCTTTGAGAACCGGCAAGATGAGTGGTTTGAGAGGGATGAAGGAGGACGATTTTTTATTTTGCGACAACAACGTTATCAGTCTATTAAACGACTTTATCCGAAACAATACAATTCGAAATCGTCTCCTTCCTTCTCCTCAACAGCATCAACATATTCACGATGTGTTGAAAGAAGTGATCAATTGCACCATTCCCTCAGCTGGTATTAGTTCGGTTATTAATCATTACTTTATTGATTTTAATGATATTATCATTTATACGAATTCAAATGATCTACTTAACCTTTCAATCGGACTTGTTCAACGACAACAAAGATCATTTTTAAGTTTTAACGTAAATGCTTTTAAGAAAGGATTTGATGATATTGAATGGAACTTGGAATCTTATAAAATGAAAAAACAACCAAATGCTGGCGGTGGAAGTTTCTTGTCAGAGATCCTTTCTTGTGAAATTATCACGAGGATCTTAAATGTGGAGTTGTTTAAAACCGAGGTAAGCACCCTACCCTTGTCGTAAAACACTCATTTCAGGCGCATTTAATCAAATTACGACGTTTTGATTTTTTTTTTTTTACAGATGGAAATCGATTACTTCTTCGAAAATCAGCCAATGACCGATTATTTGGTTAATTTTCGTCATCTTTTTAAACAAACTTCTGCTTTGACGCTTGGAGTATCAGTAACCAGAGCGTACGCACATAATAGAAGGTACACAAAACTTGACGCGTATCGACTCCTAACGAAAAAACTTGCAGGAATCAATTGTTCTACGAGGAATATAACAAACGCAAAATTATGGAAGCAAGTTTTACATATCTGGTGTCCAAGTGGAAAAGTTGCTAGGATTGTTAGGAAGGTTTATAACAAGTTGGATAATAAATTAAAGAGTAATACCGTCGTTATCGTCACGATAGTTAATTGTAAATGGGTTTTCACCAATAAACGATAAGTGCGGTGGAAAATTTTTCATTTTTCAAAGGTTTTATTTGATATTTTCTTTTCTTTCTTTTTGTTTTTTGTAATAAGCATTTATAGTATATATATAGTTCGATGTGATGTACAGTACATTGTATATACCAACATTCCTTCCATTATATGTTATAATCAATAAAGGTTTTTAATTATATTAATTCGTTAAAAAAAGAACATCGAATCTTAATTTCTATGGAATATCTAATATACGATTTTATTTTTCAAGACGTTTCAATTCTTTATCAAGTGACTTTTATAACGTTGACAATTACAGTATGATTCGGTTCAAAATTTCTTTTTATATTAATTTGTTCACAAAAAGATTTTATTACAAAAAAAAAAAAAAAATGAAAAAATTTCATCTTAATTAAATGCTTTTATTCTCTAGTTATGAGTTTCAAAGGTTTTAGGTGCTAGTGGTTGTTACTTGCGACCTCTGTGTTATGAATCTTCGTTTAAATTTCATCATCAGTATCGTTGTAAATGCAACTCTAAAAATCATTCATTGTCGCACCAAAAGAACGTTTTAGGATATATGCAGACGCATTAAGTGCCAACAATTCAAAAATATCAAGAGACAAACAGCAGGCAATGATATCGGTAACAATGACTGCAGATCCGCGGTTATTGAAGGCCCATTTTAATTAAATATTATAATGAAATTCACCTCATTCCGCAGCGAAAATCCGAGACAAATAACGCTGTGGGAATTCAATGATCACCCAAATACATGAAACCTGATTTTAAAAATATCAAATATCACTCAAACAGGAAACAAAAGCGGTAGATAATAATATTATATATATGGGCTGGGTGGTTTGTAAAACAAAACAACTTTTTTTTCTGTTAAAAAATTCCCCTTCAAATTTATTAAAAAAATTTCAATTTTTTCTTTTTTTATAAAAATATAAAAAAAAATAAAATAAAATAAAAAAAAAAAAAAAACAAAATGATTCAACTTACCTTTGACTGTATGGAAAAAATCTTTAAAAATTTGGAATATAAGGACATACATTCATGCTTACTAGTTAATCGACTTTGGTGTGAAAATTCCATTCCTATTTTATGGAGAACCATTTGGAACTATAATACTTTAATTGCTTCGCTTCCCAAAGGATCAAAAAACATACTAAGTAAGAATAAAATCAACATTATAAACCTGAATTCCAACCCTCCATTATTCAATTATACGAAATTTATCAAGAGCCTTTCAATCGATGAAATCGATAAAAATATTGGAAAACTTCTTAAGCATCATAAATCACCAAACCTTAACTATAACAAATACTTGGTAACGCAGGAAATATTTAAAATGTGCATGAATCAAATTTATTCCCTAAGGGAATTGGCCTTTCCTCATTTGGTAAGATACATTCCCTTTACAACTTACCCTGGGGCGACCGACTGTTTGAGAAACCTTTCAGAATTAAGCTGTAGTTCAAACATTTATTCGGAATTCTTTTATCAGTTATCACACATTTGTCACGAAATACAATCTTTGAACATCACTTTCAATAATGTCATTTCGAACGGATTGATACAATTAATTACCGTTCAAAAGAATTTGAAGTATTTGACATTCGAAGGGTTTGACGATTTAGAAATGGTGATTCCTTTATTAACGAAACATTCCACAAATTTAATGGAATTAAATCTTTATGGTCATCTTCCTATACCTTTGTCATTTATCGCTGATTACACCAACCTACGAGAACTCGTATTATCTTTTGATCGTCATTATGGTTTTGAAAATTTTGAAATTTTACAAGATGTTTCCCTTCCTCGATTACAAATTTTGAAATTTTCATACGGGGGTTCCAATCAAGATTATTTGATTAAATTTTTGGAATGGAATGGAAAGAATTTAGAAGAATTTACCGTTGATGGTATTAATAATGATTCGATAAATTTGGCTGTAGCCAAATTTTGTCCAAACCTGAAATCTTTATTCACCGTATTTTTGAAAAATGAAATAGAAACGTTAAAAATAATCTTTAACACTTGTCAACAGTTGGAATGTATTAGGGTTTGGTGTGGTGGTGAATATCTACCTGAAGACGTTTTATTGAAGGTTGTCGCAAATCATTCCCCCCCAAAATTTCATGAATTAAAAATGAATTATGAATGTAAAGGAAAGCGACTCTTTATAAACTGGAAATATCAAAATAAGGATCAGAAAAATAAAATCTTGCCTTATTATGAACAAGAAGATGAACATGAACAGTTGAATGAATGGTTGAATCAGGAATGGTGGATTCGAAAAAGAACCGAACGGTTGTCGTTGTTAAAGAATCGAAACGAAAATGAAAGGTCGATGGATCGAAATGAAATTGTACGATCGGATGAATTGATAAGTCGGTCAATCGGTCTAAATAGAAGAAATGAACGGTTTAATGAACGGTTGAATGAACGACGGTTTGGTGACTGGACAGATCGGTCGATAAGTATAGAAAGAAGAAACGATTTGTTGAATGAACAGTTTAATGAAAGATTGGTAGAATGGACAGATCGGTCCGTGGGTCAAAATACAAATGAGTGGTCAAATGAACCGACACTTCGAGATGAAAATGATAAGAAGCTTAATCCTAAAGAAGAATTAGAGTCCTTTTTTACAAATTGGACAAATCGTGTACCAAAAAAATCATTTTCTTTGATTTTTATCAGTCAGAACTGTTCAATCACAACAAAGTTGGAGGTTAAAAAGGGTAGTGTTGAAGTAATTGAAAAATATAAAGAGTTGGGCGTCATTAAAAAGTTTGAAATTATTGACTTTTATGATTTTGAGCTATAAATATAATATATATTTTTTTTTTAAATTTAGTGAATAATAATTAGACTACTTTGAAACGTTCTTATCTTTATGTATTTATGTACTATATTTCAAATAACAATAAAATCTCTTATACTGTATATTAGCAATGTAACAATTCCTTTTTTTTTTAAAAAAAAAAATTATCTTGAATTTGTTTGTTTGTACTTGAAGTGTGGATTCCAAAGAGCTTCCGATTGGATATTCGATCTCTAATTTCTTCTGACTGAAAGTGATTTCACGAGAAATTAGCTTCGGAACAACTTTGCTTTAAAATCGTTCGGGGAGTTCTACCTCTTTTCGAATTCAATGTCAGAAACTAAATTCGAACATCTTTTTCAAATGAAAGCTCTAGTCAAAAATGGTTTAAGTGTTTGGTCATGTAACTGTCGATATCAGTATCACACCATTATTTAATTATGAATTTTTACCAGGACAGATTTCTTTAAACCTTCCTAAGATCGTTGAATTTTGTCAAATATCGGTCTGATACATCGTGATTCATCAACAGCAAGCAGTATCTTCGAAAGAAAAAAGCAAACGTGACGTGTTTGAAAATTTATTAGTCGAAATAATTTTTTTTTTTTTTTTAGGGATTTTATATTTTCTTAACATGAAATAGCCATTATGCACAACTAAAGACAATTGCATCAGAAGAGTCCTTTTTTGGATATTAATCAAGCATCTTTTATTGGTTTTAGTTAAAAATTGTATAATCATATTTACGTCTCTCATGTGAATGAATTGAATCATTGATGCACATTTCATCTATATTTTCATGCATCGTGATATTGGATTTAAGTTTCCAGAAAAAAATATTTATTTAAATATTTTATTATAACAAACGCTATTAATAAATCATCAATTGTTCGGATATTTTTGGACCACCTTAATATATTAATCATTAATCACCCTTAAAATATTAATCACCCTTGATTTTCAATCTTTCAATTATAAATTGCTCCCTCTGCACATTTTATATCAAACTTCACAAAAATTTCTCTCTCTTTTGAGCTTCACCATAGTTATTACTTGAACTTCATTTTATCATTTCTTTTGTCATCAACAAAAATGCCTCCTAATCTTAAACCTAATCTCCCTGCTGATCTCGTTCTTGATGCCGAACAACTAATGGCATTTGAAGAAATGGGCGGACGAGATGCAATAACTTTCAATCGTCTTGGGGATAATCAAAGTAGACTTGCTTATATCCAAGCACTCGTCAATAAGAAAAAGAATGGAATGGAAAAATCGGTATGTTTAGTTAACAAAGATAAAATTTTTATTATAAATTTTCACTAAATCCTTTTCATTTCGTCGCTTCATTTCACGACTTTTAGGAATTTGAATTTCAGGCTATATATTTCGTAACCTATCTTTGTTTAACTGTTCTTAAAGTAAACATATATAAATATGATGAGGAAATATTAAGGTTATTTTAGTAGTTTAAATTCTGTTTTGTTTTCTGTCGAAATTGCTGCGATCCTGATTAGGTAATGGAGGGTATCCTTTATTATAATTATATTTTTGTTATTATTTTTTGTGTTTAATTTTAGGTATTTTATTGGCGTTGAAAGATGGTATAATATTTAGTAGTATTTTTTTGAAACGGGCCCGAATTAAAGATTAATTTTTAAAATTAGAATAAATCATTACTGGTCTTATTAGAATACAAAAGAACGAAATTTTGCCCGCGTTAAATGAAAAATTTTTTATGCTAGCGCCCTGTATATCTCTATTTTTTCTTGATCTTCTCTTCCACGCGACGCTTCTTTGAAAAAAATTGAATTAAAAATGAATTATGAATGTAAGGAAAGCGACTCTTTATAAACTGGAAATATCAAAATAAGGATCAGAAAAATAAAATCTTACCTTATTATTATGAAGAAGATGAATATGAACGGTTGAATGAATGGTTGAAAGAACGATCGGTAATATGGACAGGTCGGTCCGTGGGTCAAAATACAAATGAGTGGTCAAATGAACCGACACTTCGAGATGAAAATGATAAGAAGCTCAATCCTAAAGAAGAAATAGAATCCTTTTTTACAATTGAACAAATCGTGTATCATTTTCTTTGATTTTTATAAGTTAGAACTGTTCAATTACAACAAAGTTGGAGGTTAAAAAGGGTAGTGTTGAAGTAATTGAAAAAGATAAAGAGTTGGGCGTCGTAAAAAGTTTGAAATTATTGACTTTTATGATTTTGAGCCATAAATATATAAATTAGAATACTTATCTTTCAAATAACAATAAAATCTCTTATACTGTATATTTGTAATGTAACAATTCCTTTTTTTTTTAAAAAAAAAGAAATTATCTTGAATTTGTTTGTTTGTAATTGAATTTTAGATTCCAAAGAGCTTCCGATTGGATATTCGATCTCTAATTTCTTCTGACTGAAAGTGATTTCACGAGAAATTAGCTTGGAACAACTTTGCTTTAAAATCGTTCGGGGGAACTTTACCTCTTTTCGAATCGAATTCAATGTCAGAAACTAAATTCGAACATCTTTTTCAAATGAATCTCTAGTCAAAAATGGTTAAAGTGTTTGATCATGTAACTGTCGATATCAGTATCACACCATTATTTAATTATTGAATTTCACCAATTGATTCAAGGACAGATTTCTTTAAACCTTCCTAAGATCGTTGAATTTGTCAAATATCGAGTCTGATACCTCGTGATTCATCAATAGCAAGCAGTATCTTCGAAAGAAAAAGCAAACGTGACGTGTTTGAAAAATTTATAGTCGAAATAAATTTTTTTTTTTGTTTTTAGGAATTTTATATTTTCTTAACATGAAATTGCCACTATGCACAACTAAAGACAATTGCATCAGAAGAATCCTTTTTTGGATATTAAACAAGCATCTTATATTGATTTTAGTTAAAAATTGTAATCATATTTACGTCTCTCACGTGAAATCTGAACAATCATTGATGCGATCATCCTTAATATATTAATCATCCTTAGTATATTAATCACCCTTAATATATAAATCACCCTTAGAATATTAATCACCCTTAATATATTAATCACCCTTGATTTTCAATCTTTCAACTATAAATTTCTCCCTCTGCCCACTTTATATCAAACTTCACAAAAACTTCTCTCTCTTTGAGCTTCACTAGTTATAACTTGAACTTCTTTTGTCATCAACAAAAATTCCTCCTAAATATAAACCTAATCTCCCTGCTGATCTCGTTCTTGATGCCGAACAACTAATGGCATTTGAAGAAATGGGCGGACGAGATGTAATAACTTTCAATCGTCTTGGGGATAATCAAAGTAGACTTGTTTATATCCAAGCACTCGTCAATATTAAAAAGAATGAAATGGAAAAATCGGTATGTTTAGTTAAAAAAGATAAATTTTTATTATAAATTTTCACTAAATCCTTTTTAGCCATTTCGTCGCTTCATTTCACGACTTTTAGGAATTTGAATTTCAGGCTATATATTTCGTAGCCTATCTTGCTTATTTGTTTAACTGTTCTTAAAGTTAACATATACAGACCCCCGCCAAAAGTTTCCGAACGCTTTTTGGCTCAATGTAAAACTTAAAATTTTAAAGTTTATTAAAAAAA